TAAGTTTCGAAGTGGTTTTCGGTAGATACACTACCCCTCACCTAATAAAAACTCATTTCAGTGCTCTATGTGTATCGGCAGCTAACTCTGGAAACACGTACATATGCTGTAGATCGTCTTCTGCACAGGTTAGACAACGACTGAGGCCCACTAAGGACCAAATCCGCGATGATGATCCCTAAGGACTGAGCAGTGACTTGCCGCCATTATCATGAAGTCAGTCAAGGAGCGTCAGCGGCGCGTGGGTTTTGGCGCGCTGAAAAGCTCTTTCTACTAAAGAACTGCTCAAAGCCGCAATGAACGATAGAAAACGGGCCGGCGTCGCGCAAAAACCTTGCCACGCCAGACTGACTTATTGACAATCACTGGACAGTCGTCGTACCATCCCTTCACGATTTCGGGAAGAGGGACACATGGAGGTGCAATGATCATGAGTTCCCGCCCATTAATAATCGCGGAGTGCAAGCTCTAGGATAAAAAAGGAAAAAATATCTAGATACCTGGATTGAAATACTCAGGTAAACACCGGTGGAAAATTAAAGAACTCTAAGATTTTTGGAATACCTTTTCAAGGCTCTAGAAAGGGACACCTCATGGGAAACGCCCAGAAGGGGAGGGGGAGGCGGGAGGGCGGAACAGGGATCGAATTTCCACCTTGTTCACCCGCTGCTTAGATAAGACCAGGTTCGTTCATTCTCGTGCAAAAAAACCTCATGTTGTTTTTCGTTCTAATTAGTGTCATTTTCGATATATTTTACGATTTTAGATAAATCCGGTGTGTCCAAATAATGGAGTCCCTCAATCATCACCAGCCGGTTACAAAAGTTGTACGATGAACACCTTCAACGACTGCGACCCCGGGTAAATGATTAGAGTGAAAGACTTCTTCAAGTTAATTAAAAATCACTGGAAATCGTCCAGGTTTTCGTGCGTTCAAGCAGTGAATGACTTTTCGGTCCAGTTGTGCTGCTCAACTGGTTCTTCTGCAGAGCCAGTTTGCCCTAACCAGCGATTCCTTTTGAAGGTGGGTGAAAGGCTTAGAGAATATTTGTTATTTGATGATGAGCGTTTATTGTTGACCAATTTTGTGTAGATAGAGTATACTCTCGGAGTCAAAAGGGGCTCGCCTAAGCCGAGATACGGCTTTAGGTATGGAACGAATAAGATTCCACCAAAGTCGACCCGTCGCCGCGCGGGGCGGTGGCGGAGGTGGCCAAAGTTTTACAAAACGCGATGATGTGCTCACACGTCATTGAAACATCTGCAAACGGACATTTTTTGCGGGTGAAGGCGCACGACTCAAACGTTTCGTGAGGCTGATCAAAAACTGACATTCTTTATGCAGAATCTGACTATTAGGAACGTGGTCGTCCAGTGTATTGTAGCGCCAGTCAACCTCAGCTATGTCCGGTAAACTACCCCTGTGAATCCGCTGTTGGTGCACCTGGGACCTACGTGTGCTGCTCTGCACTATCAACAATATCTTGTCCAGCTCGATACTCACCAAAATTGGATACCAACGGGAATAAGGTGAGTCTACTCAGTTGGACTCCATCTCTGTTTCTATTCAATTTTATTATTGGGCTGTCTACCACATTTATAGTTTTTGTCCTTTTTTATTTCTCTTGTCCTTGATTTTTTAAAACCGCTCTTATTGCAACTACTTTTGTCATTTTCACTTAATTACCCATCTAATGAGGACAATTCGCCTATCCGCTCCTACTCATTATTTTCTAGAAAATCAAGGTTATCCCTGGCGCCAGAGCACGTCGTACATTGCGGATTCCCAGCGACGAACGTCGTTTTTGGTACTGGAGGGAATAGGCCGACATGTTTTTAAGGAAGAAAAGTAGAGGTTGACTCAAAAAATTCCGTGCAAAAGTAGTGTAAAGTCTGCGGAAAACAGGAAGAATGTAGGTAATTGCTTACGGATAAGTCTCAACAGCAGGAAGAGCCCTGTCTAGCGGGCCACGACATACTCCAACAATTGAATAATTATAAAATAACAAAGAAATATTTTGGAAAACCAACAAATGAATAAATAAATAAGTATAGTAAATAAACTGATTTTATTGCTTTTACATTGCTTATATTGCTATCGCAATATGTTCTCGCGTCAAATAGCATTGATTGTTCCTGGTTGAAGATCCCTTCTGTCTAGACAGTCTCTAACAATCTCCTTCAGGCTCTTTTGCTGCCAAGGACCGAAGTAAAGGTAAGTATACCAAAAAGTTGCAGCCTTGAACACTTCTATTTTGCTTACTCCTTTGTTCACGCGTACTAGTTTGTTATTTTTCTTTTATTGGTAATTTCAAGTTCTGCAAAAATAATTATTTGGCTAGATGTGGTAGTTCTCCATAATTTGTCTGGGAATTCGACTCGGTTGATGATGAGACGCCAAATTAAGATGGGTAGAAGAATAGAGAGGAAGCAGACAAGAGACTTTCTTTCAGAACTTCACTAAGAGCTTTCACAATCTTGAAATCTCTGATGGCATCGGACCAGTCCATAGGCGTAGGCATAGAGCAATTGCGGAGTGCCTCCCCCTCTTTAGTCCGAATGAGCTGATTCTTGGATCATTTCATTTGTTGGTGAAGTAGGTTGGCGAACACTCCCGGTCGAGCGAAGTGAACGGTTCTGGTGCGCGATGCAGCATACGTCACCCCGCACAGCTCCTGTTTTCACCGTGGCAAGGAAGTGACCCCACAGCTGAAGATCTATCCATTTGTAGGATATTACTCGATAGTTTGATTCTCCTCTGTAAAAAAAACTTGTTTTCAAAGAGCGCGTACGAAACGGAGAACGGATAGTACTTCCAATCATTATCCTATTATCCTACCTTTCCAGAGCATTCCTCTTGAAAGTGTGTAGAAGTGATCAACTTACTCTGATACTTATAGCCCACGCTTATGTCCGAACAACGGGAACGCCTACATGAATCCTTATGGAGCAGTGGAGACCTGCACGGTGCCAGGAGCAGCCTGCAGTCAGGTGAGTCGTGCTAGCAAGACTAATCTGAGAGGATGGACTTCCCCCTTACATGAACGTCCCGGGCCTAAATAAGTCAATTCAATGTAGTTCAATAGCATATGCACACGTTTCTCATTCGTATTGTGTTTCAGCTGACGAATCAGCGGATCATTCGTTAGTGGTTATAGTTTCGGAGGAGCATGGATTACCCACTGGGGAATGCCCCCATTAAGATACCCTGGTGATCGAGAGGATTACCTGAGCAACAGAGCAAAAGACTGAACAGAAACTCCGCATAGAAAGTATAGTATTTAATAAGCCGACCGAGCGATCCCATCGCTTACAGCGATGATGAAACGAAATGATGGAGGCGGGTCCAGATCGCGGGGGTGGAGCTTGCGCGTCACCGCTAAGTCGTGGCGCTTTATCTCGCACTTTTGAATCACGAGAAGATGGACGGAATCACGTTTTGTCGATTTAGCGGCCACTACCCGAAGGCAAAAGCGATTCGTATGCCAGCCTGCGCCGCGCCCCCGGGCAAACGAATCGCTTTTGCTCTTCGCGGACTTAAGCGGCCGCTTAATCGAAAAATGAAGGGAGGTTAGGAGAGATGGCGGCTAATATGGATTTGGTACGGGCAAGGGGTGAGCGTACTGGAATAGATAGTTTGGAGCGGGGTTGCGTTGATACCGTCATTCTCCCCCGGATGGCGTGGGTTAAGAGGCGGAACGCACACGAGATAAGATTTCCACACCCGCGGAGTATGACGAAGTGGGCGTTGCCTAGGAAAACAAAAAATCCCATTTTGATTCAAGTGTAGTCCACATTTTTGCTAGAACAACAAATGGTTCTAGCAGAGCGAACGCTGTAAAATATTGAAAGATTGATCATTTTGTTTTTATTTTTTTGTGTCCAAGGCTGGATATACGTGTCAGTACTCGGCAAATCTTACTCAATATGTGTGCTGTGCCAGTGAATCCACGACATTGAATTGTGCGGACGGACGGAACGTTTATGAACAGATCGCTGGTACGCTTATTGGTTCATGACAACCTTCAAGAAAAAAAGCTGGTTCACTTGGGAGACGGGCAAGAGAACCGTAAACTGCTGCTTCGTTGCGCGCGGCAACGCGACGTTTCATTAATTTGTCTTTCTATCCCGATTGACCCTTCCCGATTGACCCTTTCGATTGGAGCATCCGATTTTATGTTGACAAGCGGGCGCGATGTCGATGTCGCGATCACTAGCGGGCGCGATGTCGCACGCGGCCCCACTGGCGCGGCGATTCAAGGTTCTCTTGCCACATACCAGGTTTATGCCTAACATTGTTGGGCATAGCTGTCAGAAATCAGTTTTCGGTTCTCCTTCACACTGTTTTCATTTGCTCGGGGCGTTATATGCCTGAATTTCGTGGTATTGGTCAAACAGCGTATAGAGCGCACATTCTCCTCGAACGTTACGAATGTTCCTTATGCTCTCCCTTGCGTTTCTTTGTAATTGATTGATGTAAGAATTTGATCAGAACTTAAAAACACAGGCGTTTTTCATTTACATTTCTTAGGTGAGACGTATATGTGCAACCCCCAGCAAGTGCCATCTTCGTGCCCAGTTGGATACGAATGCGCTCCGTCCACCTTGCCTGGTACCAACGTCTGTTGTGCCAAGAATGCAGGTAAGGTTGAAATCGCTTTTGGTGTAATAGCGTACCTGGCTTGGGGTATCGTTATTGCTCCGGATCAGGATCCTTGATAAGGGATAAAGCCGAGATACAACGAAAGTGATTAGAAGTTTTTGATGAAAGACCTTTTAGAAGACCACACCACCAACACCACAGACACACGGCCTGCATTCAAATCTGTAGAGGGGTTTGAAAGCGTATTCGACCTAGACAGTTACTTTGGGAGGCTCACCGATGTAGTGGTCAAAATTTTATCCTCCCATACGCTGCCAGTCAATGCCAATAAGTCGTTCTCCTAAATTGCAAGAGTTGAACTTACGCGGCGGAACTCGATACGGTACTTCACTGTAATCACTGTGGCCTTTTTCATCTGGCATTACATCGGTTTCAATTTGAAAGCACTCAAAAAGGAATGGGAGTAGCGCGGTCCAAGTGAGGAAATTCGACCCCTTACACATTTTTTTATTTTTCTCTCTTTTTAGTTGGTAGGATTGACTACTGTCTTCTGCTAGATGATTCTGCACTAATCAGGCTAGCTCGAAAAGAAACACTGAGCTCACCCTTGACTAAAACCGATACTGGATTCGACTCCCGGACAATGTGCCTGGCCGCTTGCCACTACGCTACTTAAATTTTGCTATTCTCTTTATTCAATCGCTTGATCTTTTCAGATCCTCCTGTAACACTAGCTCCTCTTCCATCAAATACTGAATGCCCGGCTGGTTGGGATCCTTACCGTAGCGGTATCGATGGCAAGGAGAAAAGCTGTAATGGCGCATTTGATACGACGTTCGTTTTGGTTTTGTGCTCTTTTCTGTTCACTACTTGATTACGATACGATGAAGTTTGGTGGTTTCAGATGCCCCACAGGGTATGTATGCGCCCCGTCAATGATTTTCCGACAGTTTTTGTGCTGTCGACCGGCTACCACCAAGCTTTGTGTTCGAGGTAGCGCGTTCCTCGTCAACAATCATCCCAGGCTTTGCCAGAGGTACGCATCAAACCGAACTACATAAAATGACCATTTTATATTTTGCCCTGGAACTACAAATATTTCGATATAATCTGTGGGCAGTGAACAGATGAACAACCGCGTGGCATATGATTTCCTTTATCTTTTCATAATTTCCATTGTCACAATTGAATAGTTTTCAGAAACCAGCCTAACCAGTGCCCAAGGGGCTACTCGTGCGACCAGAGCATAGTGGTAAGTATTTTTTTCATGATACCAATAGCTAATGTTACCCCTCAGATTTGTGCTGTACTTCTCTCCCCTAGTCCTTCGTTTCAGAATGAAAACTCTTTTAGCCATCGATTGCGGTCTGCTGCAGTAGTGCTGCAAGTCCTGAACGTCTACTTTGTCCAAATGGCGGTACCCCGTCTCTGCTGAATGGTTTCATTCGAAGTTGCCCAGTCGAAGGCCAAACTGAAGGTTGCCCCAATGGAAACAAGTGTGAAAGAGCCACAACGGGAATGCTAGTCTGCTGTCCCAGGTACATTCATCAGAAATTCCATAACTATTAGCTCCTTACAAATCTGACAAGGGAACAGTCGGTACCAACCACACGCCAGCCACACGCCCAGCCATAGCCAAACGCGCTGCTTCTCTGCGCCCTATAAATTGTGGTTGTTCTATAGCGTCAAGTGCGTGTTTCGCTACGGGACCTTGGTACAGACGCAAGCGCTGCTCAGTACAGGAGGATAGTGCAGGTGGAGTGTGGGTTGCACCTGGGTATCACTGCCCTCCAACTCCACCTCTGTGTACATTTTGAGCGGAGAAAATGGCACGCTACTGTAGCTGCAGACCTATTCATCCCACACATCGAAAGGACCGTCGTTCGGTCATGAGTGCGCAGTTTGCCTTCAACATAGCTTACCGCGGTGACAGGCATGATGCAATTTTTCAGTAGCAAACCATATGGGAATGTACAATTGTGCTGTGCTGACTGCTTATTCGAATACGTTTTTTTCTATTTTCAGCGATTATTTGCATCAAATAGCTTAATTATACTATATTCAGCGTGTCGCCTTCGACAGAAGTCTGTCCTCAGAACAGGTTAGTTCATTTCCCAAAGAAAGTATCTACTTCACCATTTGCTACTTTTATGCATAGACAAAAACGTTCCAAGAACGTTCTTTTACTATTATAGTTTCGAGAACGTTCATATACAAAGAACACTGATTTCGTCTTAGTAAACTTGGAAAAAGAATAGAATCTGCTTTCATTGAACCTATGGTTGAGAGGGAACGGCGTGAGCGATCGCGCTTAGGGAGACCACGGTTGTCAGCGCCTAAGTTTGATTTAAATACTAGCTCGATGCGATACCTGGAAAGCAAAAGAAAGACTTTCAGTTTCCTTAAGCAGCCGCACGCCTTCTCGGGCCTCAATTTCTGAAAGGGATGGACACTGGGGTAGGCACTGACAAAACCTGTCTTCATTCGCACAGAAGTTTATGCTAGAGAGAGCACAGAAGTTTATGCTAGAGAGAATCGCCATTACACGGGGATCAACATCGGGCAAAGAACGATTGCTTTAAAGGCACTTGGCAGGATGATTTGGTGTTCGGCCTAAAATGCTAGTAGGGCGCTATATAATGGGGATCATAATTTGCCTAGCAAATGAATCGATCAGTACGTCCAGGAAACGGTCTCCCATGTGGGCGGGGGGCGGGCGTTTGGGTCGGATGTTGTGGCTTGATAGGGCCCTTATAAGGGCACCTCCCTTGGAAAAGGCATTATGCAGCGCCTGCTCAGGGTCGCGGAATTCCGTCCTGCCAGGCGTAATCCTACTCGGCTTAATCCTACTCGTCTTGGGGGTTTATCATGCCAACTGCCTTTAAAGGCAAAATCCGCGATCATTCGACATCACATTTAGTGGACTAAGAGTTTGCATATAGACTACAAAGTTTCGAGTAACACGATAGTGAAGAAAAGCAGCAGAAATAAAAACATGTCAACTGCACCAAATAGAACCCCACCCAATTACAGTTTGTACGCGCCCATTTTCACCATCTTCAGCACTGAACCATCCTCCGCAGAGCTGATTCCCCGATAAGAACTCTAAGACCGTACAAGTGACGATTTTCATGCTTTTTCGTCCTGCAGCTTCGTTTTTCACTGAAAGGCAGGCCTTGAGGGCGGAGTCTGGAGGCGGAGTCACTGGAAAAAGGAGGCGTCACTGAACCTATATTACGCTCTAGCGCCCCTCCCTAACAATTTTGCCGCGAAACCGGTACAAGGTTGTTCACCGCGGGATACACTACCCTCCCGACGCCATATTTTCATCTTCTATACTTGATCGCGGACCGTACCTTCGAGGGCGAGAAGTGTTTGATTCAGGACCCAATCATGTCGATCCTGTTACCACCCTCACTAGGAGGTGAGGGGGGGGGGTGGCTTGAGTGAATACCACATGTGAAACAGGAAAAACCGCGAAAAGTCAACAACCGGGAAAACTTCTTCACAATGCCGCATGTTTCTCTCAGAATGCCAAATACGACCCTTCTCTCCCAACACGAGCTACCTACGACCTCCCCTTTCAGACTAAATTCGACCCCTGTTGTGAATCCCGACGACGATGTGCCCTGCTTTGATTTATAGTGTTCATCTGTTTCAGTAATATATTGAGATGACTGTTGAAGGAATTGAGCTTGTTGAATTTCGTTAAGTTTTTCAGGCAGCCAATCTTTTCACAAATCACCAACGACTACATCTACTGTGACGACACAGCCTACATTTGCGCCAATGAATACGTAGGTTTCTTTATGTTGATTCTCAATCTACATTTGATAATTTTATTAGAGCCCTCTCTCTCAGGCAGCGTTCATACTTCACGATGACGCGTCCACGCGTTATTCCTTCAATAGCGTTCTAGTGCTATAGGCGGAGAAGCCGCCGCCGAAGGGTATCGAACCGCGCAGGCCGTTTGTTGTGCTCACAGGGGAATAGTAGGCTACCAGACTGCGTGATTTGGCTTTATGAAATAGCATCGTTGCTGTTTTGCGACCGCAGTGCAGATCCTTCTATTTTATGACGCCTGAGCATGATGTCACACTGCCTGATACCCTCCCATTCCACCATAGTCTCTAAAAACATTAGCGGCCAGTGCCGATCGATACTCATCTATGGACGCATTCTCGTTTAAAGCACTGGAGCGCTATTGCAACGGTAACAGGACCACTACTAAGACGCGTTTCACAACCCCCGTCGACCCGCGACATCGCGAAGTCTGAAAAGCAGCTTTGGTGCCTCAGATTTTCAAATTTGGCACGGAATCTAGAGCAGGCTAAAGATTTATTGCCAAAAGGTAGTATAGCCGCTGAGTATAATATCATTATGGCGCGAAGGCTCATTTGCTCCTGTAATAAGCGAACTTTCAGCCGAATATAGCAAGGGGTTCCTTTAATGTGTGGGGTGCCAGATGGTAAATACTGCCAATGTTTCTGATGGTATACGCTTTGATATTTGAATATTTTTTCAGAAGTGTCTCCCTATGGTGAATAGCGACCGTTTTTTATGCTGCTCCGATATTCCGAAGTGTATACAGGGCACTCCCGAGATGTATTTAGTGGGAAGAGTTAAAAGGTGAGTAATTGCTTCAGCTACCGTGAGGTAGAATAAAGTCGTCAAAAGTAGCTACCAGTTACAGTGTTGAGATCCGTTTTCACTTCGCGTTCCGACGTTTTTCGATAGAGGCTCATACAGAGAAAAAGTATTTAGAAGCAATATTTAAGTGAAAATAATATATGATAACCAGAAGGGTCGATTTCAATCAATTTAGCATCAAAATATACTTTGCTCAGAGCCCGGTGCTTAGTCTTTTTATCCCTTTGTCAATGAGTTGGGGCGTGCAAACTGGATAAGAATCATTTTCGGTTCAGGTGTAGCAGTTCGAGCGACTGCGGCCGTGGCTTCTTGTGCTCGGAATCGAATGTTGGCGGCGTCCGCGTTTGCTGTTCATCAGGAGCTATACCGGCAAGAGATGTACGAATCAGAATTTATTTTTCAAACTGCCCCTTAGGTGTGCTCGGGTCAACTGAAATGCCCACTTAAATTTGAGGTGCAACGGCTCCTCTGAATAGGCTGCGAATTAGATTCTTGACTTCAGAAGAGGCTAGCGACGGAACCAGAAAGTCTATCTAGAAATAGTCCCTCATAGGTCAAAGTCTTCCAAACCTATCCATGACTGTTGAGTTTTGGAAAAATGATCCCCGTTGCTGAATCCCACCTAAAGCGCCATTGCTAGTGCAGTCGCACGCGCGAAAGGCACATTGGTAAACTTGGATTTTGGTCTAGTCCGTACAA